TATTTGTATTTATCCACGGGTGTATTCGTATTTATAGCATAACTCACATGTTAGTGGGCTCATGCGTTGGGGGTCAAATTCCGGCCCAAAATAATAAAAAAATATATGGGGAGAGAAAAAAAACACACTATTTTTTTTTCTTAAAAAATATATATATATATATATATATATATATATATATATATATATATATATATATATATATATATATATATATATATATATATATATATATATATATATATCTAATTATTATTATGATATTGGTCAATAATCTTGCCGTACCTATGATTGCATCTATGAATTGGTGTGTAGTAAAGCTAAGACAAGTAATTAAGTAGGCACTCTTGCACGCCTGCCTTTTAGCATCTACATATGATTGGTTGACTATTATCCATAAAGTAATTAATACACTCAATATTTTTTTTTTAAATACAAATAATTTTAGAATTCCCTATTTAAATTTAAGAAATTAAATCTTAGGAGTAATATATTATTTCCTATTTGATAATTACTAACATGCTTCAACGAGCTTGTGATTACAATTTTTTTGGCGTTTTTGTTTTTACTCTAACTTGAAAGATTGAAATTTAAGCATTTTTATTCAAGCAAATAAAAATAAAAAAATAAAAAAAAACACACACACACTTTTGTGCGTGTGTATGTAAAGGTGAAAAAAAATACAGAAAGTCAACCAACGCACGGGCGCATGAGTGCCCATCTGCAACCAACAAAGCTAAAAAAAATGTAGCTGTTTTTTTAATTCTTAATTTTTAATTTTTTTCTAATTTGTTGTTGAATTAATTGAAATCGTATATTTTTTATTTAAATTTTCAGAGAGTGGAAAGTAACGTTTCATGCACATTTAAGGGGCAAACCCGACATAAATACTTTTCAATAAAACGTTGTCGTTGCATAATTTTGGAAACTGCCAGTAAAAGTGAGTTCAACTCATACCATAAGTTATTAGCATATATATATATATATATATATATATATATATATATATATATATATATATATATATATATATATATATATTTGTCGAAGAAACTTGTCTCAATTAAATGTGGAAAACTATTTATAGGGTAAATTACAAATACCCCTGAGGTATGGTCAATTTACGAAAAAAATCCCTCTTGTTTGGATAATTACATATATCCCCTCAACTTTGATTTTTTTCTTACACATCCACTCTTATGGTGTCAAATTCAACATAATCATCTAAATTTCGTGGAATATACTCTAGTTTGTACTCGTTTTGCGTAAAAATACAGTTTCTGATGCATCACAATCTGATATATACCATCCAAAAAACACATATTAAGATCATTTTGCTTCAAAATGTGGGGTTCGAATGGGATATATAAAGCGGGCACAAAAATGATAATATTCCATATAATCTCGAAGATTCCACTAAATTTGAAACCGCCAGGATGGACGTGTAAAAAAACTTATAGTTGAGGGAGGTGGTTGTAATTACCCAAATAGGAGGGGAGTTTTCGTAATTTGACCATATATCAGGGAGTGGTTGTAATTTACCCTATATATATTATGGAGGCTTAAGCTCGAGCTTGAACTCGCACGAGCTTCGGTGAGCTCGAGCTTTTGTCGAGTTGAGGCTCGTCGAGTTCACGAGCCGACTCAGCTCGTTTAAGTATAATTCTAATTACGTAATGAGATGAAAACAAAAATAAAATAAAAATGAAAACTTGAAAATCAGGATAAAGAATTAATTAATGGTATTGTTTTAGTTTATAACTGCCGGTTCTTTTGACACAAATATATGCAGAATGTTACACCTATAGACCAAACCTAATATAACAACAAAAGGGAAGGACAAAATATATGTATATATTATTGGATGGCGCATGCCTTAGGTTTAAGGTTATTACAGGCTTTTTATTTATTGAGTTATCAGAGTATGTAATTAATAAAATAATGTTGTGTTTGGACTTTGGAAAAATATATTTAATTATAGTTTTCTTTTTTTTTTTCTTTTTTGATAATTAATATATTTTAAATATGTGACAAATTAATGGCGAAGAGGGAGTCCTGCAATCACTGCCACTTTTCAGTGCCAGATATATCTCTTCAGATTTTACCTACAATCTTTAGTATCGATATATATTAATTATGTTACCAAATTAAATTAAATTTTTTAGTATATATAGTAGAGAAAAAATATTTTGAAAATAATATTGTGATCTCTTTCACATGCATGTCTAGTACTTTAAGGTCATGTATGGTTGACAAGATAGGATTAAAAAAATTGAATGAAAATTCAATTATTTTATCGGATCCTGAGCCGTTCAACAAAAGAATTAACTGAAAGATAACATAAGTCACGATAATATAATATTTAGTTAATAAATAATATTCGTTTAACCAAACGAGTTCTAAGTATTTGCACTATATGGAGTTCTATCGTCGTCGATGTCACCATAATATTCTATGTTAATATAATCGATATGATAAGCGTCGTTTAGCTTTAAGAATACAATTTTCGCTTTAAATTTAATTTTGATTTTGATTTTGATTTTAATTTTTTAGTTTGAATTGGCAAAACTCAAAACATGGAATTTGTATTTCTTTGAGTTATCTTTTTGGTCCAACATGAGTCTTCAAGATTGGATTTTGGATTATAAACATATATTTTAATCAATCTGAAATTTTTAATGTCGTTTCAATTTTACTAATACTGTTTTGACTTCGAATCTAATTGAACATATATCTATTTTGATTTTGGCAAAATTTGAAACACGAAGAAAAAGTTGTGGGCAGTATCCATTAATTCATGTATATCTTTCTCGTTTGACATCCAATTTTAATGATTCAAGTTGGATTAGAAACTTACTCAGAATACTACAAATTCTATTTTTCGGGTTTTGCAAAATTTGGAATTAAAAATGATCAAAATCACATTTAAAGTCGAAACGGTATTATTAAAGTTCGAATGACATTTATCACATCCCTTAATCAATTTATATTGCCCACAACTTTTATGTTATTGGTAATCTACAATTGAAAATATAACTCATGCATACATAACTTTGTCATCCGGCATTCAATCTTCATAATTTAAGTTAGATTAGAAAACTAACTCAAATGACTATAGTTTTAGTGTTTTAAATTTTACCAAAATCAGATTAGAATGAGTCAAACTCACTCTCAAAGCCAATAATATTAGCAAAATTGAAACGACATTAATATTTAGGTCTATATTAAAGTAATAGTCGAAAATTATAATTATATGAAGATATAATTATACGAAGATAAATGTACACATTCTTGAATTAATGTAGGTCTAAGCAAAAGTTTTTTTTCCTTATTATATTTTTTTAATTATAAATTTAAAGTTTGTATACAATAATTCTAAATTTTATACAAAATTAAGAATCGAAGCCATGATTTCACATTATCTTATAAATTTCTAAAATAGAATATATAAATTACAATTAATCACTTTTCTCTAATTAAATGATGGAATTGATGACAAATTTGTGTTGATAATTGATGTAGAGTAAGTAATTAAATTTGACTTGAAGCTTAACTCGAAAACTCTAGCCCTATAGAAGTGGTAGATTTGGATATTGGGCCACACATCAACTAAATACACAAATCAAGGGTCCAATTAAGTAAAATTTAGGACAAATTACAATCGCCCACAAAAGTAAAATTTATTTACTAAAAAACCGTCATTTTTTTCATAATTACTACATTCATCCATCCAATTTGTAGGTTTCTTTTGTATGGATGTGTTTTAATTGATATAAAAAAAATTACAAATTGCAGGAGGGTTGGATGTAATTTCTCAGAAAAGATGGAATTTTTCGTAATAACTTTACGTAAATATCCAAATTGGCATTTATATGGAACCAATTGAAAAATCTTGATTAACAAACAATTATTTGTGTAATAATTAAATAGGGCAACACGTGGGAGCAAGATGGTTAAACAAGTGCAATTAAGTAGTAGACTAGGCATCCCACATAATAAAAGTCACAATAATTATTACTTATTTAAAACCATACAATAAATTATCCATAATGAAGTTATTAAATATATACATATATGTAGGTAGACCCTAGTCCTCATCATGCCAACTTAATCACTATTACAAAGCCCACGTGGCATTAACCACCATTATTTTTAGAATTTCCGTGAGCATGAAGGCATGTTTAATTAATAAATTAGCATAACACATTTTGGGGTATAGGTTTATTGATATTACAATATTATTGCAAGATTACTACCTAATTTTTTTAATTTTTTTTTTGCACGTGCACATGTAAAGAGAATTAAATAACACTTATAATTTGATTATAAAAATAGGCTTAGGGATAGCAAACTACAATTTTTACCCAATGGTTATTTGTCGGTGTTCCAATTACTAAATATCCGAAACTAATATGACTTACACCGTCACAATTTTGGTATGATTTTCGGTTTATGACTTGATTTCTGGGGTACTAAGAGCGACTACTCGGCAATTGGGCCTAACTAGGCCTCAGGATCCGAATATGGATCAAATCTATGTTACGAGGCAATGTAGGTCGAGTTTGGCAAAAGTTTTGTTCGGTTTCATCTAAATTGTGAACAATTAACATTATATTCAGGAAGAAGTAACGAATTAACATCCCTACTTTTTGAGGGGTCTTTTCGTAAGATAATACATAGTTGAGGGAAGTGACAGTAATTATCCAAACAGAAGAGGGTTTTTCGTAATTTGACCATAATTCAGAAGTGGCCGTAATTTGCCTTATTATTTATTATAGTATTTTGAATTTCT